TAATAATGGACATTATAATTTTACTCTACTGTTAGCTATCATTGGTACTAATCGACTTAGAGAGAAATATTTGCCAATGCAAAGTCTCCAACATAATCTTTCTCCAACATAAAAAATTCTATTATGTCATGTGTGTATTTCGGCAGTGGTGTAAACCATTCGTTTTTGACACTACTTTTTTGATACTAAGAAATTTTAAAAACTTTGAGCGAAGATATATAAAAATAACCAAGAATTTAAAGAAAATGATATTCATTTAAATTTAATTAAAATTTTTTAATTAAAGTATTATATTAATTCTTAACTTGACTTACCAGATAGGTTTATGTTGATAAAAGACGTAAGATAGATAATTATTTATTAGTAATAAAGTTATAGAAACTCACGTGATTCAACGGACCCACGGGTCCGCGAGAAATATGTTTTTTAAATTCCGATATCTTTAAGATACAACGTTTAATTCTGCCGGCATTTAAATTGTCCTGACCCATGATAAACATAATTCGGTCCGGTTAAAGGGTTCCAATCCCTACAGTGAACGAATAACAAAAAATTGTTCCAATTTCCAATTCGACCAAACAAATCATCTGATCTGTCAACCTATCAAAAGAAGCGTTTTATATTTGGTGAGTGGATGACACCATAATTTAAAATCAGTGTAATATCACGTGAAGAGAAAACAGCGAACGATCGTATGTTTGTTACTGTTAGACATTCTACCATTTTAGAACTTTTCGTGTTACATATCCTTTGATTTAATGTTTATCCTCTTTAATACCTAGGTAATAATTTTTCAGAAAATAAAATTTATGACCGAATCACACCTCTAATCTCTACTTTTACGTTAATAGTTTCCTGGCAATTAAGTTAATGATTAATTATTCACAGTTTAATAATAAAAGACATTCGGATCGAACAAGGAAGACAAACTCATTCTATTGGACAGCTGAAACCGACAGTAATCCTTTAAGGTGATTCACATCCGAAAGGATTAGAAATTGGCCAAATCGCAGCACACTATCAAGATAAAGCCGATTGTTTGATAATAATGGGAACTTCTTTAAGAATTCCTAGAGCAAAAGCTTTTATAAAAGATTTCGCTAAAGCAGTTCATGAACGTAATGGTTACATGATATTGGTGAATGCTACGAATGTGGTTACTAAAGAATGGAATGGGATCATTGACTATCAAATAGAAGGTACCTACGATGTGTGGGTTGGATTTGTTGGCATAGAATTATCAAATGTCAAATTTAATGTCAAAACTACGACAAAAAGTAAGTTGGATGAAACAAATAATAATAAAAAAAGAAAGAAAGAAGAGAACAATTTATCAAGAAAAAAGAAAAGTGTTCACGAATTTGTAACTCTGGTCAAATTTGCAGATCACAAACCTGGCCAAATAATCTGCAAATTTGACCGGAGCTAAGGCTTATGGGTGTGCGTAATACAACTAAGGTTGGCAAATTATCGTAACTTTACGTAATGTAATTTTTGTAATGCCAACCTTAAATACAACCCATATATTTGACCAAATTTATTCCAAATTTATATTCAAATTTATATTCCAAATCGGCCAATTTATACTCGACTTTTTACCGTCTTAATTGAATCCTTTATTTTTTTAAAATCTATGTTTAATTTTGCTCAAATTTATATTTTAAAAATCGGCCAAATTTATATTCGGATTCCTTGTCCAAATTATATTAATTTTGCCAAAATTTAAATATAGTTTGTCCTAATTTATATCAATTTATTTTATAATATACCTAGATACTAGCTATCCGCAAGTCACGTGATTTGCTCGCATTGATTCGAAAATTTCTTTTAGATATAATTAGTAAATTATCAAATTTTAATAACTCGTTTAAGTAATACAGTTTGTAAATTTACTGTGTATTAAAATAATCTAGTCACGTTAACCAGTGCCACATTCTATGGTTATTAATTGTGGCAATGAGAACCTGCACCAATTAAATAATACGTATGTATGCGTGTGCCTAGTACATATGTATACATGTTGGCACTAAAAATCCCACCCAAATCCCAAATATAATAAAATCCAAAGTTTATTTTTTTACGTGCGTTTGTATTGTCATTTACAAATTTGAAGCACTGTAAAATACAATAATGAAGTTTGGTTAATTTTAGTTGAAATCTTTTTTTTTTAAATAATAAAGTACTTGCTGGGGATGTACTGCACATACCTCTCTTGATTCATAATATCTAAAAAAATCTCTCGAGAAACATATTCTAAAAAATTCATTTGTTACATTATCTTATTATAACTAGCGTTATTTAATTTTTTAAAAAAATTATATAATTACCATTGTTAATAGTTCTTGTTGAATATAAAGTTTCTGTTAAAATATGTAAAAATTTATCAATTAATTTGTTATTTGAATTACTTTTGTTTGATTTATTTCATACCAATAATTAAGCTATTTAGTGAATTTAATTGCATACTTTCTAGAACTAAAGCAGTTTTGATCAAAGAACTCAATGGACGACTTGTATATATTGCTTGAGAGTTATGTTTTTGAATTAAATTGATGCGTGGAATCTCGGGAAATCTGAGTTTGTTTTCATATAAAACATCATTAATGTGGCTTATTATTTTATCTGTGGTTGGTCTTTTTGATAAATCAGCATTCCAACATGTCTTCATTAAGTCAATAAATAGTTGTGGTGTGTTATCAATAATCTTTGGGCGAAAACCATTGAGAATATCTAAAATAAGGTTTTCGTCATGTATGCGATCGAAAAATGGCTTATAACTACTTGTCATTTCCCAAATGATTATGCCCAAACTATATACATCTGAAGCTGTAGTGAATTTTCCTCCTCTTAATACTTCTGGAGCAATGTACGGAATAGCGCCATATATTTCATCATTATCTGATGCCTCATTTGCTGGCATACTTATCCCGAAATCACTAATAGCTATCTCATGATCATTATTAATAAGTATATTTCCACTGTGAAAGTCTCGATGAATAATTTGTTTTCTATGGATTTTTGTAAGCCCATATGCTATACTCTTCAACATTTCTAATCTTTTTAACCAAGGTAAAGTATTTATATTTTTCAATAGAAAATTATACAAATCACCGTTTCTTGCAAATTCTGTGATAATCATGAAATGTTCAGTTTGCGGATCTTGAGTTATACCGAAAGACTTAATAAGATGTTCATCATCGTATCTAGCAGATTTTATGCATTTATTATAAATTTCTAACTATAAAACAAATAAAATAACATTAGAATATTAATATTGGATTTTTGAATTTTTTTCTTTTTTTTTTTTTTGCATACTGACCTCATTAAAAAAGTCAGGGCTAATATGTTTAGAATTGTTAAGACTTTTAAGAACAACACTACAATTTTTATGTCTATGAAATCTCTGTTTCTTTGAGTACCATGAAGTAATTGGACCATCTTTCCATATTGCTTTATATATCTTGCTAAATCCTCCTTCGGCAAGATATTCAATATTAGTAAACTGTTCAAATGGAACGAATTCTAATCTTTTATATCTATTACTAACTCCTGGTACAGTAAACGTTTTTTTGATGAAATTATCAACCAATCTGTTACCACTCAGGGGCATATGAAGCGATAAATCACAATACACACAATGTGAGGAATTCGTATCTTTATGACGTCGTTTAAAGCCACATTTTCTGCAATTGGGAATTAAATTATGTATTCGTTTGCGCTTAATGGATGTTCTTATTGTTATTGTCATTTAATGAGTTTTTTTCTAAACAATACAATATCGATTGCCTTATTCTGTTTACAGGTTTTTCTCAGAGAATATACGATTATTTTACTGGTTCTAAAGCCGTTTAAAATAGAAATTTTACTACAGTAAAAGCATAGAAAAAGGTAGTTCGCGCCAATAATTTTAATGTTACTTAAGATTATTAAAAAAATATCATTTGGATTCCATAAAAAGTTGTATGTCTTTTTATAGTTAAATTCAAACTACCGTGGCGCATTATTATGCTTAAAATGATATCTAATACATTTTCCTTCTTAATTTGGTCATTTTTTATAATTATTGATCTCTCTCTGTGTACATTTCTTATCGATATTTAACGTTAATGGGCGTTTCCTTCTTAATTTGGCCATTTTTATTTGCGATACAAAATTCGGAACTACCCCTACAGATATTTGCTGGTTGAGTGGTCCGTTTATTTTGTGGTTCATACGTACTGTAAGACAATGTATCTGAATACCTAAAAAACCCGGTTTCTTAATTTGGCAATTTTTGTAATTCTCTACCTTCATGCTATATAAAAGGAAATTCGTGACTTTATATATAAATTATTCACTATAGCTATGTATCTTAACTTTATGTATAGATAAATAGTTACTTATAAACTAGCGACCTTCGATAAATTATTTCAAGTTCACCTTTTTTACCCACCGTCATTGATATTTTCTGATAGTGTTTATTTAACCTACACTTACGTACACGGCGCGTAGCTGATCCTACTTTCAGAGCCTTTCACAAAAATTCCAAATAGAAGGTTAATAAACTTCCAAGGCTTCCAGATTCATTCATTCTTTATAGGCGTAAGAAACAACCAGATATAATGGCTAAAAATTCAGGCATTTCTAATAACGAATTATCGTTTCTGATGATCGACACGCCTGCATTTTCTTCAATATCGGCTGACGGTGAAAATCCCATAATGAACAGACACAATCAAAATATTCAACAACAAAGAGTTTTACAAACCAATTTGAAGATTCCACAAAACACGGCAGCGCCGTGCGTGGTCGTAGTCAATAAACTAGTTTCAACAGTAGGTTGTAATATAAATTCTACTACCACACCATCCAACGTTCGGTCTCCTCAATTAGCATCGGTACGCGCTGCGGCGCCTATTCCGCGAGGTGGAACAATTATTAAATTTGAGAAGCCTCGAAGACCTCCAAGACCTCCAAATGCCTTCATTTTATATCGTCGCTCTAAACAACCGGATATAGTTGCCGCAAACAAAGGAATATCAAATAAAGAAGTGTCCATATTGCTCGGGAAAATGTGGCACAAAGAATCCCTCGAAGAGAAAACGAAGTTTCAATGTCAAGCCGAAGCGGAAAAATTGGAACATATGAAAAAATACCCAGGATACAAATTTCACCCTAGGAGGCCTCATGAGATATGCCGCCGCACAAAGAAATTAAGCGTTATCACGGGCAATAATGGCACAACGAATGCTGTGAAAAACTCTGTTAAAAAAGAATGTAACACTCTTAATTCCGTAACTAATAGCGAAATTTCAAATAATTCTATGTATTTTGATACTGTAAACATCGCTGATTATGATATTGATTATGATAATGTTTCTCCGATGGTAATATCTCCGTATTTCTTCGATTTATCAAATAACGAATCTTGTGACTATTTGCAATTTAACAACCCTTCTGATTATTTGCAATCTTTTGATTATTTGTAACTTAACAATCATTTCTGACAAAAAAGTCAATTCTGCAGAAGGGTTTGCTTTCATTATTTTTTATTTATTGACTTCCTTTTTTCAACAAAAATTTATGGGATGACAATTGATTTTTTGTTCAATATATAAACCTAAATGATAGAGTTTATAAAGTCAACCTGGATATAGCAACCTTTTTTTCTCAAATTTATTATGTAAATTACTTTTACCATAAGATAATTATGATCTTTTATTAATATCCAATCGCATCTATATATACCTGTAAACAAAAAGAAAAAAGAAAAAAACAAACTGTTTATTTCTTTTTCAAATTCAAGTGCGTAATCCATCCAGAATGATCGTTTTTTAGCACTCTTTTCTGTTCAAACTTTGTTCTTTATTATTATTTTTTTTTAATACGATCATTGTGAAATTGCCGGCATTATAAAAAACAAATAATCAAATTAATCAAAGTTTGTCATGCCATTTTTTCGACACCTTCCTTTTTGACTCAATTGCATGACAGAAAAATTCTTCATCCCCGTGAAGAAAATTATATTATATTAAAAAAGCATGATACAAAAAAAATGCATTACACGTTATGATGATATTTTTGATCAAAATATTTTATGTAACAATCAAAGTTAATTTCTAAATTTTATTTTTAGTGATGTGATCCGTAATATAATAGCTAATATAAATTGGACTCTAAAACTATAGTTAGCTGTGGTTTTGCAATCCTAGATAAAATAAATTGACTTATTTTAATATGGAAATTGGAAGTTTCGATCTCCAAAATAATAATATATTAATAAACAAAGACCTAAACTATAAATGTGCTAATTTATATTTTTTGTATAAACTTAAGCTTCGAATCATAATAAATCAATTCCAGTTTTTTTTTTCTTTTTTTTTTATGATTACATTGATGAAATGGAGCATCGGTCTATCCGTTCAGATAAGCGAATAATATTCTTATCCGTTTTGAACATCCATTGTAAATATACCACAATGGAACATGCATATATTATTACTATTAGCACGTTGTTTTTTTTTTTGCAACATTATTCCGGAAACATATTACCAGCCAATGGCTTTTCTTCTTTTTAAAAAAATTTATTGTTTAAATGCCTGTGGCTTAAGTGGTAATTGACGAAACCAATAACAATTCGCGAACAATTTAATTCAACTAATACAGAAAAGGTGTATCGAAAAATATCGGGTTAATATAACGATAAACGAATGCCAAAATGTTGAAAGACAAAAAAGTTAATTCGACTAATACTAAAATAGATCATGCAATATGATTATATGATGGTTACTTTAAAAGAGATGAAACAATGGTGTTATACATCTTTCGATCGATAAATTCATTGGTGTACGTAAATCACATGTAGTCCCTGAAGCTCATTTTAGTACTGTGAGGATGATCTGCTGCAGGTATTGCTTTAATAATTGCTATTGTTGATTCTAATGTACTGTACCTTATTTTTACAATGATTCTTTGCAGTAGCTTTTTTTAACTCTATAAAATACAGTATTAATAAATTATTATTACTTGAGGGCCTCAAGTTGAGGCCAATAGTGAATTTAGATTATTCAAAGAATATTTTATGCGTAAGATTAATGTTTTTTATTATAAAGGAGGTTCTGACTTTTATAATGAACCACAAAATTCTACACTCGTAATTTCCTAAAATGACATAAGGAAAAGCAATAATTTATAAGTTTTATAATCGTAGAAATAAAAGCAAATTCAGCATCCAAATATCTAATATTATGCAGGCAATTATATTAACCCATATTGAATTAAAAATAACATGTTATAGAAATATAAAAGCTAAAATTATTCAATTATTAACTAGAAATGAGTGAAATTTATAAGAACGATTTATTACCCGAATAACAAATTCGATTTTTTGCAATCATTTGATAGAATTTATTTTTATTACAAACAAATATAATTTTTATTCCGAAATTTCCTGTTTTGATGTGTCCTTAGTTTATACATAATTTCTAGTCCAAAATTTATTTATTTATTTTATTTATCGGGTTTGTATACCAATTTCGGACATCTGACCAATCAAATTCGGACATTCTAGCAATCAAATTCAGACATTCTAGCAATCAATTAGCAATCAAATTTGGACGGCAATATCTCGCGTTCTGGTGATTAGAATCATGTGATACTGGTACCATTCGATTCGTCATGCCAAGACGAGTCGAATGGTACCAATATCACGTGATTTGGACCACTAGATCGCGAGATATTGCCGTCCGAATTTGATTGCTAAGATGTCTGAATTTGATTGCTAGAATATCCGAATTTGATTGCTAGAATGTCCGAATTTGATTGGTCAGACGTCCGAAATTAGTATACAACCCGATATTATTTGATTGTTTTTATTACACATCCAGAAAAAATAGTACCCTTTGTCATAGGTGGTAGCCTAACGGATTATCGTTATGTCCGTTAATCCAAATAGGAAATTGTCAAATTTATGATTACTTGTTTACTTTAGATAATATTCCATAAATAATATTTTAACCTTATGGTCCGTAGTACCTAGGCTACAAATATAATAGAATAAATATCCTGTTACTTTCAATTATATCTATATAATTTAATACATATATTGTAATAACAATAAGCTTGTACTAATGTTATATTTTACGTATTCCATATTATAGCTGTATAGAGTTAAAAATAATAAGTATAACTTTGGGTTAGGTAATATAAGAGCATTATTGTTTAATAATTATATGGGCTAAAGGTCATATCGCATCTTTAATAAAGGTCACAATTATTAAAAATAAGATTGAATTACTTTAATTACTTTTCAAAATATAATGATGGTAAATATAGCTTCGCTAATGCATATTTAATTTTTGATCGATTTAAGTTTTGGATTATTGGTAATAAATATTAATTTACTACACTTTACGCGTGTCTATCTATCCTTAAATATATGAGACAAATTCTTTTCGTGTGTATTTAGTAATTCCAAAACAAATTTTAAAAAAGCTGAAGATGAATATTTCAAAATTCTGCACATTTTAGTAGTTGTTTCGTTATTCGTCAATGACAAACTTATGTGCTTCGTCAATTCGTCAACGACAAAAATAGTTTCGTCAGGCATCTATAACATGATCAAACATATAAAAAGTTTTAAAATTTTGTTATCTTTACATTCCTCCATTTAAATATCAATTTCAGTTCATACTCCGACGGCAACTAGATGCCGGTGGAGAATAAATTGAATAAAGTTTTTAATATTAATTGAACTTATTCGGATTATTTCAAGTAAACAAAATTTTGTAGGATTAATTTGTAATAACGTAATAACATTTGAATAACATTTGATATATTATTTAATTGATTCATTATTATCCAAAATTCTAATCGTAAAATTAGAATCATCTCATCTAAAGTAATCTTAAAATTGTGATGGCTTTCATTTTGAAAGAATTATAAATATTCATTGTAGATATTAATTGTAAATTTCGGATATTGTAGTCATATTCAAATTTATTTTTAATTACTAAATTGTGTAAACGACGATTTTGATATTGATTTGTTTTTCAAAAAAATTATATACAATGATGCAAATTTAATAGTATTGTTTAAAAAATCTTCTAAGAATTACGTGATTTGTTTTTTCTTTGTTTTGTATTTCTTATTGTATTTTAAATTTTTACTTTCTAATATAATTTATAAAGAAGTCTACAAAATTCATCTTTTGACATGTAATTAGGGTTCTGCAAGTGCCGGGCATGGTGCCGAAAACCATAGTGCCTGCGTGTCGGGCACTATGTTTTTTCGAGTGAAATAGTGATGGCGCGGTCCCGTGACTAATTCAATAACAATGATATCCTAATGTTCGTCTAAAAATTAATGTTTATTAATACAAAGTAGAAAGAATTTATCTAAATTTTTGTGCTGAAAACTTTTACATAATAACAAAGACGAATTTTCCTTGCGGATTTATGAGTTTTTTCGCCTTTATTTTTTTTACTTTGCTTTATCAAGTAATATACAAGAGCTGGTTGTTTGTGCACCTACTGTAAATAATATGGAAAATTTCAAGCCTTTTCTTGTATCATATTTCTTAATTTTTTTTTAACTTTGAACGAAGATATCTTGACAACCATCAAGTCAAATTTAATGAACTTTTCTTATTTAAATTCTACAAACCAGTAGAATTCAAATAAAAAAAAAAAATTTAAATTTGGCTTGGTGGTTATTAAGATATTTCAAAGTTTTAAAAAATTCTCAAATAAAAGCTGCATCAAAATTTTCTCAAACTTTAACTGAAGATATTTTGACAACCACCAAGTCAAATTCGATGACAATTTTTTTTTTTTTTTTTTTTTTGAACTCTATGAATCAGTAGGATTCAAATAAAAAAACAGTTATCAAATTTGGCTTGGTGGTTGTCAAGATATTTTCATTCAAAGGTTTAAAAAATTCAACGTCTATCAAAAGTGATAAAATTTCTCAATTTTGAACAAAGATACCTTATCAAATATTAAACTAAATTCAATAACCATTTTTTTATTTGAATTCTACGAACATGTAGAATTCAAAAAAAAAAAAAAAAAAAAAACCGAAATTGGCTTCCTTCGTTCAAAGGTTTTAAAAATTCAACATCTATCAAATAAAATTTTCTCAAACTTTGAGCAAAGATATCTTGACAAACACTAAGTCAGATTCGATGAATATTTTTATTAGAATTTTATAGATCTGTAGAATTCAAATAAAAAAAGTGACTGGATTTGGCTTGGTATTTGTAAAAAAATCTTCGCTCAAAAACTCAAATCATCTATCAAAACAGAAGCTGTGCCATAATTTGAGTGAAGTTATTTTATAAAATACTAAATCAAATTTAATAATTTTTTATTAGAATTCTATGTCTCCATAAAATTCAAATAAAAAAAAAATCGTCAAATTTGGCTGTTTAAAAAACACAAGTCTCTCAAATAGAAAATTTTCTCAAACTTTGAACGAACATATCGACAAT